CGAGAACGCTGAAACCTATGTTTCCATTGAAGAATATTGTAAAAACGTATAAATTGTTATATGCAATGTTATAACAAATTGTCGGAAGTATAAATTTTTAATAAAATTGTGAAAATTGATAAATTATACCGTGTTACGATATCGGAAATCTCCCGCGAAAATCTCCCGCGAAAATTTCCCGCCTGACCTAACCGACGATTTTGCTAATGACTTTGGGGAGAGGGTACCGCAGGTATATAAGGACCCGCCGATGTCCCGCGAAATCATTTACCCTTTATACTGGGCCCTAGACACTTCGCGGCGTATTTTGACCTGAAGGTTCTGAGATGTGAATAGAGTGGTCGGGGGCTACTAGCTAGTCTATGTCCACCCTGTACACACTCAGCCTTCTTGTAACACTTGTATACATTAGAATCAATTAGAATTTCTATTACTAATTATTAAACAAATTTTAACAATTACCGGCACTCGCTAGGCACGTAATATCAGACTTTAAATACTCGACTTCGAACTTCGGTTTAGTCATAATTCTATTAATGTTATAATAACGTATAATTTATTAATTTTCACAATTTTATTATTAATTTATACTTCCAAAAATTTGTTAAAACATTACATATTATTATTTATACATTTTTGCAAGTTTCTTTGACAAATAAGTACGTTTCAACGATCTTATTACTTTCTCGTTGTGAAATCAAGTTCGGAGGATTAAAAATCAGGTTGACCCTTGGTCGTAAATTTAAAATAGCCATAGTGAAGGTGAAATTATTATTTTAAATAAATGTTTCTATACGAATTAAGAATCTATTCAACGTTTGTTTGTTGCAATACCGTGAAATAAATTGTATTATATATTTTCTCAGTTTAGACTGAATTTAAAGTTCGTAAGGATTAGAAATCAGGTTGACCTGTGGTCGTAGATTAAAAATAGCCATAGTGAAGGTAAAATTATTACGTTAAATAATTGTTTTTATACGAATTAAATATTGATTCAACGTTTATTTGTTGCAATACCGTGAAATAAATTGTATTATATATTTTTTCTGTTTACACTAAATTTAAAGTTCTGTTTACATGTTATAACAATTAGAATGTTGACGTTTTGCCGTTTCACGGTTTTTCCTCTGTTAATTATGTGTTTATAAATCATTTCAAACTAAAGCAGCACCATGCCCACCCTTAATTAAACCGTCTCAGTAGTTTACCGTAATTAATAATCTATTTTCGGAATTTATACGAGAATTTTTGAATTTTAGTAAATACTAGAGTCAGTGCATCGCGTATTGAAATAATAGCTTCATCCCTAGTTCGTTTATTATTGAATATTTTTACGCGTTTAACTTATGCTTCTCCCCAATTCTCGTCGCGTATTTTATTCAAATTTTCTTATATTCTAGAATCGAAAAAGATACGAATTCGCGTTTTTTCTTTTGATTCTTTCAATTTTTCAATATCGTTAATAATTATCGTAATAATTTCTATCGTTACATTTAATTCTATTTGTTTAGCAGCTTTTCTGCTGCTATCGACCCTACGTTTTACTGACACTTGTGGAATCGACCCTACATTTTTCTTTTTTTTACCTGGACGTAGGCCGACCCTACATTTTACTGACACTTGTCGAATCGACCCTACATTTTACTGACAATTGTGGAATCGACCCTACATTTTTTTTTTTTACGTGGAGGTAGTCCGACTCTATGTGATAAACAATTGGCAACCAAACGGTGGCTCGCTAAAGCGATATATTATGAAATTAAATTAATCACTCAATAAGTTTTAACGTTAGATTGTTTCCTCGATATGGCCATGGTGGTCATCAGTGACTGGAGTGCCTCAAATGTTTAGAATAATTAAAATAAAATAAATGTTGTCAACTAAAAATTTTGAACGTCATAGCTAGCTAGACATTATTTTCAATTGAAAAAAAAAAAATTATAAAGCATAATACTATAATCCTATGCTTAAAATATACTTTCTTGTGGCCGCCTGACAGCAATCTGTAAATCTGGCGTGACAGTGAACGTGTTAATAAGTTGTTCAAATTATGTCGTGTTTTATGTCATTTTCATCAGAAAAATCTCACCAATATGTTAAAAAAAATTCCAGATGTAAAAAAGTAAAATTAAAAATGTTGATATTTAAATCACTTAGTTGCCTCGAGTCACGTTTCATGCTTATCTTTTATTCGCTGTCCTTGTTTACGTTCGGCAAACTACAAAGGCAGGCGCGAGGCTCGAAAACGTAGTCCCTGACTCTACGAGTGTCAGGTTTAGCTTCCTTGCGGTCTGACTCTTGTGGAGAATATACTGTACAGATGGACTTTGCAGGACACTATAGAAATCAAGGAATAGACTTTAACACCAGGAAAAATGAAGAAATGCAATTATTTATCAAAAAATAAATTATTTGTTGTAAGGTACGTGTACGAAATATATTTTACGAAAGGTTGCAATATAACAATATTATTTTACAGCATTTTACAGTTTATTTATTTTTCCCTTATATACTACGTCCATTTCCTTTTACATCCGAAATGTTAAAGGAATGGAAAATTGATTATAAATATTAATTTTAAGAGAGACAAGGAAACGAATAGCGGTAAACAAGCATAGTACTACAGAAACGAGTTAGACAAGGAAAGGAATAAGGGTAGACAAGGATAGCAATCGTGCCGTGTGTTGGACAAGGATAAAAAAAATTTCAAAAGCAAAACTATCACCATCTCGCGTTAGGTGACGCGAACTACGATTTTCTAATAGGATTACAGAATATAAACAGAGGTATTAGACAAGGAAAACACTAGTGTGCGAAAAGGATAGAGAGAAAACTTTTCCTATTGGTTCGCGGGCCGTAATGGCCGCCTCTCAAACGCTACATAAAGTCGGCGAGGGAAAAATCATTAATATCTCATTATTTACGATTAATTTGTGAACTTTTAGGATTGAAGAATGAAGTATGGACCTTTACAACTTTCACATATAGATTTTATTATAATAAATCCTTTCAGTAATTAGTTATTAAAAATGTTTGTGGGGAGTGTCGGCAGGGATACCGTACACCCTTCTGGTTTATCATTAATTTTGTAGTTTTGCACAAATAATTTATGCACTTTCATACATGCGTTGTAAAGGATATTCTTTTAAATAGTTTCTCGTTAAATTTTCATTAACATATCCGTCGTAATTTTCGAGATATTAAATATTATTTGTGTGATTACTACAATCGTCACATTCAAGCGTGAAGGATTTCCGTCATTTTCACGAATATGCAGGATCAATTTTGCACGTTCAAGCATGTAGAATATAGTACAGACCTTTGCCTATATTCTGCAATGATTTTTAATTACGTACGTGACGTGCTTTATGAAATATTAGCCATCGTTTATAAGAGTTGACTATACTCGAGTACAACGAATAGGAGACTCTCTCATATAATATTTAATAACTATTAAACTACAAGGGTTGTGTTAATAAAAATTATACAAGAATGTAGCCAAAGGAGTCCTCTTTCAGATGCATGCAATTAAATGCATGAAGAATTGGTAGAAGGCTATGAAATTATTGAAAAACCGTAAAAGTATGCCATATTGTTTCCGACATCCTGCACTATAATTGTTAATAACAAGTTATTGAGAGGGTCTATTGCACTAAGAATTATATATGAAAGTTGCTGAAGGTCCACACTAGATTCTGCAATCTTAAAAGTTCACAAAATCATCCTAATTAATAAGTTATTAATGGTTTTTCCCTACCGACTTGATACAGCGCGTGGGAGACGGAACATGGCGGCCCGCGGACCAATAGGAAACGTTTTCTCTCTGTCCTTCTCGCACACTAGTGCTTTCCTTGTCTAATACCTCTGTTCACATTCTGTGTTCCGAGTAACGAGCTGTTAGTTCGCACAGCCAAACACGAGACGGCGCTAGTTTCACTTTTGAAAATTTTCTATCCTTCTCTAACCCTATTCCTTTCCTTGTCTAACTCGTTTCTTTAATGCTACTCTTGTTCTTTTCTATCGGTTTCCTTGTTTTACTCATTGCCAAAATGTAGAGTGGATTACAGGTATAATAAAGGCATTAAATTTAACGCACCTAGTTTAGTAATCAACCATGCATTTTCTTTTTATATGTGCAATTTTAACTTAAGCAGTACTTTAATTTGCTTTTCCAATTATAATAAACCTGACCATATAGAAAGTTCTAAGGCTTAGGGGGTAACAGTTAAGTTGAAGTTACGGATAGATCGAGTTAATCTTTTAGGTACGACCGCTCGAGAAAAGAACATCACAGGAGCTTCCGCTTTGATATTCTAATTTTCTTTTTATTTTCAAATATTTGGTGTTCTATCTTTGCAATCTTTTGATAATTTCATCCATTTCCTTCAGAGTGTTTGTTTTAAAGAGCTCTGACAGGGTATGATAATTGATTATTTAATATATTTTATTGTGTGTGCAGAATTTTTGAACTTACAAAGGCATGTTAAAAAGCACCAGATAGTGGAAGAGGAAAAATTTAGCAACAGTCAGTAGCTTCTGGTTCAGAACAAAGTAAAAGGAAAACAATTCTAACAAATATACAAACAAGGTGTCTCATTTTAATCAATCCGCGCAATTATCGAAGGATCGAAAAATCAAATTTAATAAAAAAGGATATTTTACATCTGTCAACTTTACGATCTTTGATAGTTGGATTGTATGTCATTTCTAAATTCACTACTATATCGTAGAGAACATAATAAAAACTCTGATTTTTTACACGATCGGTATTTCACAACGTGAAACACCAAGTCCCATAAAGTGATAGGTCTATTCTGTACCTTATCTGTGCTAATATACACAGAAGAAAATTAACATAATGTGTTTTCCGTTTCAAATCATGGACACAGCAAGAATGAAAGAAAAATATACAAAAAGATAAGAAATATAAACATTCTTTAATTTTTTTTTGTGTAAACCCTTTTATTATAAACTTTTTATAAAATACAATATATAAAATTGTTGCCATGTGGCATCAACAAGTATTTGCTCTGGATGCTAAATACAATGCTCAACGTGTAAACAAATTGCCTACTTTAGGTTCGTATGTTTGGTTTGCAATGCAATATATTGTGTTATATTAAAATTTCAAAATAATTTAATTGCAGGTATGCTTTATATTCGTCGTAGAAATCAGTTGTTAAAAGAAAAGTTTAGCAAAGACCCAAAAATTCGTGAACATTATTTAAAACTAAGAGCAAAACTGTTATTTTTACGATATGGCGAAAATTTGGAACAAAATAGCTTTAATAGTCACATAACTGGGGAAGAAAAATCAGAAATTAAAACAAAACTTCATAGTATTCATCGCAAATCAATAGCAGAAAGTTTTGCTTTCGATGGTGTACATCATGTTTTTGATCAACACAATGCACCTGTAATAATGCTTAAATTTGCAAATAATGATAGATCAAAGTTATGCTGTGCATCATTAGATGGATTATTATCTATATGTGATGCTATTAATACACCACCAAAAGTGATAGCTTTATTGAAAGGTCATAAAAAAGGTGTTACTGCATTAGACTGGAGTATCAGTAATGATCTCATAGTTTCATCTTCTTTGGATGGTACCATAAGACTTTGGAATGTCCTGGACACTGAAAATAACTCAACTTGTTTACGAGTAGTTAATGATCAACAACGAGCAGAAGTTTTATGTTGTGCATTTATACCTATAAATAATAACTTAATTATTGCTGGTAATTCTCAAGGACTTGTACAAATTTTAAATATATCTACTGGTATATATACTCGTGGTGGTTCATGCAAAATTGGTGGAAAAGTTAGTTTCTCAAAAATAAGAAGTTAAGCTACAAAATGAAACACTACTTAGCTTTATGCTAGGTAAAGTACATAAATTTGAAAACTAAAATATGTAAACATTGCCCTTGCTTCAGATTTTGTCATTAACTTGTGAGGGTAGTGGTGGTTTAGTAATATGGGTTGGAAATGATAGAGGAATTATCATGTCATTTCAATTGGAGCCAGGATCGGGAAAATTAACAAAATTAAGAAGAGTACAAGAAACTAATGGAATGATAACGAGTCTTTCTTGGCGTTCATGGCTTTCAAAAGATGCTCCATGGCCAGCACTTTTAGTGAGCAGTGCTTGTAATGTTGTACTGTTGTATCATATTGTTGACAACCAGGGTTCCTTATCTCTTTGGACGAAATATCCAATAAAACATAAGTAATTTACTATTTAAATACTGCTCCACTAATGAATATTATTTTTTTTAATATACAGAATTTATAAAATTATTGCAAATAAAACATAATTTATACATTCCTTGCAGACAATATTTCGTGAGGTCTACTTTCTGCCCACAAATGGAAACATGTTTAATAGCCACCGGTTCCGAGGATGGTACAATACATCTTTTAGATTCTGCGAGAGAAGGCAAAGCAGCAAAAATTAATCGACTTCAGGGTCATGCAACACCAACACTTGCTTTATCTTTCAATTATGATGAATCTCTTCTTGCATCTGCGGATCATCAAGGACTTATTATTTTATGGCGTAATCGTCAACGTCACATATAAATTTTTAATAATGTATGAATATAAAGTAATATTGCATAAACGTTTTATAAAAATAATTATTATACGTAATATAGAAGTAATAAAACATGGAAAATTAATAGTAGATGTAGTGTAACGGTATAGGAAATAATAACAATAAAACACATTCTGCCCAACTGAATGTCTGCTTTGTATAACAATATATTAATTGTTCTCTATTAATATCCTATGTATTATAATGAGCACAGAATTAGCATTATCAATAATAATAAGAATAATAATAATGGTAGTGGTAGTAAAACCGCATAATAATCGCAGTGCTATTAATAGTAGTTGTAACATGTACGTTTCAATTTCACATATGTTAATGAAATTATATATCGGTGCAAATACCAAATATGTCGATATTATTTTTTTTATATCTTTTATTAATCTAATCTATTCTGCTGTTATGTTATGATTTATTTTTGCTGTAGCAATATTGAAAACTTTGAAAGATATTCTTGCGAAGATTGTACAACCTTAATAATTAATAATTATTAACGTATCATTGGTATTTGTCATTCTCATATTCAAATAAATACTTGCATATTGTGAATTTAATATGTAATACTATATTTCTAATAAACAATTTCTTTCTTGTGCATTTGCATTTCATGTAATGTTTACCGAATATTGTTTCATTGTAAAAAATTATCTAAACATTAAAAATTGTTGAAAAGGCTACGTTAAGTGCTTAAAAATATCGTTTAAAAATATTGGAAAATAGTATGCAATAAAGTACGGCAGCATATGTTCTGTGCTAATTCATCGGGAATTTCACTAATTTGATTTGCCAAATTAATCGAAATAAAAGCGCACAAATTGTGCCCATCACAGTTCTAGTAAAAGTAATAATACAATATACATTTATAAAAAATTATTCGTGCATGAATAACTATACATTTTTCACTAAAAAATGAGACTTGCTTATAGTACTGTCCCTTGATTGACACTATAATACTTTTAGAGTAGAGAGCTGTTTTCTACTAATATAATTTTAATGTAATACCAAGAAAGATATTGCATTTAAAGGTAACGATAATTAAAAATCAATACGAATAATTATCATATATCATCAATGAAAATAACATTAACTTACGCGAATTCTACTTCTCTGATAATTACTATATACTGAACGAACGATGTTTAATAAATATTTACAAATATGAAACGAAATTACTCAATAATTTTGATGTAGCTTTTAAATATCGATTGTCTGCTATTCAATTCACTTAATATTTACGTTTCTTTATCGCCATGAAGCTAATCGTATCAAAAATTATATCAATATTAAGCTCTACTTATATTAAGATTTCTGTACAAGAAACCAAAATTATATGTTTTAATATAATACTATAGACAATCGATTAAATCTCAGCCACAATAAAAATTTGCTACATCTTATGTACAATAATTCGAGATTCATTTAATAGCGATTTCATTGAGTAATCACTATACGTTTGCAACGAAATTAGTTCGGACGGACTTCAGCTAAATTATCTTTTTTAACATTTTACTATTGTTTTCGAAACACATTAGTCATGAGTCAAAACACTACACTTGTCGATAGGCTCGATTTTTTCTTGGTTATCACATTGGGCACTTTTTGAAGAAGTCAGATCAAGACTATTTTCTTGTTGAATGTTTTCGGGAGGCACCGTTGGTAACGTATTGTAATTCAAGGAGTTTGATAAAATATGTTGGTCCTGTGTACTGTCTATACTTTGCGATAATTCTGATATTTTTTCTTTATCGTGCGATTGCTCTATATTATCCTCCTTCGCTTGTTTGACAGAAACAAAGGGTGCACCATTTGTAGACAAATTCAATTTTAGACGATCTCTAGTATGTCTTAATTCTCCTAATTGATATTGTTGGCTTTGACCACAATCAGTTAACAATTCTATCCCATTTTGTGGTACTCCCTGTCGCTGTACACCATCTATTTCGTCTCGTTCCTCATTTATTGACGTAGAAGCACCAGGAAAGAATTGACTTACATATTTACTGTCACTAGTTTGAAATGGACGACTTGAACTGCTCACAAAAAACTCCTCATTTGCTACAAACGAAATAAATTATATAGTACCATAAAGTTTTATTTGAAAGAAATACTGAAACTTTCATAATAAGTCTATAACTATCTAATTATATTATAAGCATACCAGTATGATTGGCATCATCATAGTCAAGAGGATACAGATCTAATCGTGGTTCGTCGATCATTTCCTCCCAATCTAAAATAAAAAAACAAGATTAGGTAATCTATAAATATATTTCGATCATTTCTTTAACACTTTAAACCATCAAAGTTTCATATAAGTTTCATTTATATTTTTAAGACATTTGAACCCTACCACTATATGAAGTTGGTTCCCAAGTAGTAGTTGTTTCTCCTTGTGTTTCCGTAGTTAATGTTTCCTTTGGATATTCATACACACAGTGATAGCGTTGTTTTTTAAACCATACACTCTTCTTTTGATCCTAGACAAATCATATATTGTTGAT